ACTTTTACAGAAACTACAAATTGATATTTGAGCATTACAAAAAGAGTTTAAAAATATAATACCTGATAATTAACAATTTGATGAATTTAATTATTTGTTTGTTTGAAATGTACAAAAAACAAAGGAACAATATTAAAAATGAAAAACATTATTGATAATTAAAATTTGGATATTTTTTAAATTGATAATTTTATTTAAGAAAACATTGTATAAAAACCATAATAAAACTTCATTAATATTAAAATATATAACATCGTTTTCCATAAACTTTGAATTAAATTTAAGCTAAAAATAAAACTATATTTTAAGAAACAATTTCAACAACTAAAAATGAGAATATTAATGAACTAATACTATGAACAAATCCATATAAATCAGAAGTCTTTATATACAAACTGAAACAAGATTTTTTTTAATATTATTACAACAAATATTTTAGATTACATAAATTATTTGAATTGCTATGATTACATTATATTCTTCAATTAAGATATCCTTATCTTATTATGAATAATTATGATTTAGATTGTGTTTATTTGTTTATTTTCATCAATTTACAATTGTTAAATATCAATTTTAATTATTTAAATATAATAATTATTAAAATAATGCATTTTTGTTTTAAGAAGAATTTATAAAAACAATTAATCAAAACAAGAAAACACAACCAACCATTTCAAACCCAATACTCTGATAAAAATACCACAACTAAAATATGACTAAAGTTTCACAATTATTCTCAATAGTTTTTCGTGGTTTCACCATTCAACTGTCTTATTTACTGATATTTTGACTTAGAAACCGACTTAAATCTCGCGTGTTGGTTTCTATTGTTATTTTTTTATTTTTAACTAAATTATGAATTTCCAAATTTTCTTTTAACGTTTGACAAAATCGATTCTGTATAATAATCAAAATTCCGGCTTGTTTAAATAGTTAAACAACCAACCAAGATATAATTATTATCCTTTTTCCAATCTTTCATCTAAGTACAACTTGTTATTTAGGATATAAAGTTGATAAATATATATAACCTCATAAAATATATTACAAACAACTTAACTGTTAATGTTTACAATCACGATATCAAGATACTCAGTTAATATCCTTATCATCATTTCTAAGTATTTAAAGTGTTAAATTATAATTAATATAATACAATACCCTGCATTTTACTTAAAACAATAGAACTCCCACAAAATATATTAAACCTTGAGATAATAACATTATATAGGTGTGCTTTACAACAATATGTATATAAAACTACCTGAAAATGTCATTTAACTTGAAAAAGTGCTTATGTAATTGTATTAATTTAACTTATTTAAATTTAGAAAATGTCAAATAAAATTGGCTAACAATGTTTTAAATTTGGCTAACAAACTTTTAGACTTGAAAATTTTGATTTTAGTAACAAAGATGTTTAAAGGGTGCATCAACTTTCCTTCTATTAAAAACGTGGAACATGTAACCAGTCTTGGAGGTGCATATTTCAAAAAAATTGTAAAAAGTTGACAGCAAGTAATTTGAAAAAAAGTTGGTTCTTTTGTAACAGGCTCACTTTAATTATTTGGTGTTGTAAAATTAAGTTAAACACCCAAACAACATACTTTGGCAAGTTCTGTTCATTAAACACTCAAATTAAACAAACTGAAATTTTTAATAATATTTGATCTTAATAAAATTGTTACAAATAATGAGAAATTGGAAACATTTTTTTATTTTAAATTCCATTACTTTAGAAAAATCTAGAGTTTGTTA